GAGGAGGCTACTGATTTCATGACTATCGAAAACTGTAATGTTGGTACAAAAGTACAGTAGTTTTTCAACCATGAATTCTTCAGACCTTTGTCTTTCATCATAAAAGCGTTGAAATCCAGTGTTGCAGCCTCATCCATTGATCCTTCATATTCACTCTCGATATAGATCCTAATCTTTCACAAACATTGGTTTGGCTCAGAAGTGACGTCACAATCTCTCTTACCACAAATTTAAACAGGCTTTAGCTCTCTCATGGGAGTAATCCAACTTGAGGACACTTCTAGTGCTGTCTTTTGGCTATGCTTTAAAATGTACAAAAAGTACTGAATGATTGAGTGAGTGAGTTTAGTTTTACGCCGCTTTTAGCAATATTCATGCATTGTCGGGTTCACCATAAACGGGGTTCTCACATTGTACAGTACTACCCATAAGTAGTGCATGAATGGATGGTGTTGTCAATGACTAAACAATGATGATGATGATTAATGTGACACTTCATCATTGTCATGAAAGTTTCCCTCTCATATCTGCCTCGACAAACTTCGGACGAAGACTGGACATTGTGATGAGGACCGCTTCCTGCAAACAAAACAAGATGTTGCACATTTGCATAAATTGAAGACAGAGTAAACATGAAAAAATAAATTCAATCCGGATGAATTGTTTTCTTGTATTTCTGTGATGATGTTGATGAATGTGTAGCATAAGGTTGTTCTTGTGGTATTCCTGACACTCATAAACTCTGGCTGGTCCTCTCTTTGCACTCCTTACCTCGTAATAAATAGTGAACTGTGTCAAAGTTTTAATAATAGTTTGTTAAATTGTTTATTTTCTTGACATAAATTCTGCAAAAAACTCAGAGTTGGTTTGATGTTTGATTATGATCAGTGTATCAATTTGGAGATAAACATCATGTGTTGACCAATTTCCGGGTGTTATTGAGTATTTGAAGCACGGGAATTCATTTGGAACCGACAGTGCCAGCCGGAGGTTTCAAATGAAATATTCCCGTGCTTCAAATACTCAATAACACCCGGAAATTGGCCAACACATGATGTTTATCGACATTGTAAACACAAAAGTAAACCAAAAGGTCCACACACGTTTTTGTGTCTGCACTCATTGACATAGAGTACGGGTACATCAATGAAATGTCATCACCCCGGCCGTTTCGGCTGTCTCCCATCGTAGCATCTGGAACTGCTCATTTGTGACGTCAGTCCGACTTTACGTCACAATATGATTTCAAAGACGTCATCTCAGCTGACGACGTAACAATACAATGATGTGAGCGATGTTTGTATGTATTAATACGCAGCAAATTTCCGGGAATCGAATACCATTTGATCATGTTTATCAACCAATCAGATTAAAGAACACAGTGACTTTTGGTTTACAATGAGTATTATATGTTTATTAGTTTTCGAGTTAGATTGCAATTCATCGACCCTCTCTTGTGCCAAACGGACTATAACATGGGACTGCTGAACTAACTATATCCCGAACCTATAATCTATCTATGCCTGTATAAATCTGTGCGATCAGCACATAATAGACATTATCAGGTCAAGGGCCTGACCTCTGTCCGAATGGTGCGGCTTCCTTGGTCAGGGCAGGTGTTGAGGTAGTGTTGGAAGAGGAAGCTTGGGTCGTCCACGTTCAGCCCTTCGTCAGCATCCAGACTCGCCTCTAGACCATGGACTCCACCAAACACCACCAGAGCATGTCTGTAACAAACACACACAGGCTTATGCATAGCAGAATCAATAGCATCTGAGGTGTACTCCCTGGGTGTTCCCTGATGATGACAAGAAGCTGAGGTAACAGTACTTTAATTATTTCCAAGATATTTTTATGGATTAAACTTCTTTTTAATTTAATTTAAATTAAAAAGAAGTTTAAACCATAAAAATATCTTGGACATCAATGTACAACTTCTAAATGCCACTGAAAGACATAATACTTTAATTACTTCATTTCTCGCCAATTTGTTTAAAAATGTGGTACTTTTATGTGTTTTATTTCATATAAAAAGTTGATGGGTATCTATCTGCACCAAGAACATGAATCCATAAATCACATTCTTTACAAAGGTATTTCTGAACAACATATGAAGTGGGCTGTTTCGGAAGGAGGATGGGGGTGATGAAAATATGATAATTATTACATTTTTGCCTGAAGAATATCTCATTACTTTCAGTGTTTTCCTGCCCATCAGGGCCCCATTCTAAAATCAGGGCCCCATTCTGAAAAGGGATAATTCGTGCTTTTAAGCCAATGTTAATGTATGGGAGTTCTGGTTACCTTAACAGTAAGATTGCTTTACGGAATGAGGCCCAGTTGTAAGATCAAGTGAATAAGTGAGTGAAAGCAAACAAATCAAAAAGTACTTTCATTCCGAGCAGTCCAGTCCAAGATTCCCAAAAACATTTCACAGATGTCCTCAACTGTTACTCACTTTAAAACTTGTCAAGTGTGAAATGAAATCGTCGCCGCCTCCTCTCTGACGTGCCGATGGTGACATCGTGAGCCCTGTTTGTAGGGCACTCGGGTGAAGACTCAAGGCCGAGACTGGAAGGCCAGACGACGCTGTAGCCCCAGTACAGGCCGGCCTCGGTCCGCGGACTACTGGGGGACACCACGGTTCCCCTCACGTGTTTCCTGTCTGGAGATAAAAGATGAGTGAGTGAGTTTTACACCTCTTTTGTCAATATTCCAGCAATATCATGGCAGGGGACATCAGAAGTGGGCTTCCAACAAAGTACCTCTGTGCGTATCGAACTCGGGTCTTTGGCGTGATGAGCGAACGCTTTAAAACTAGGCTACCCCACCACCCGATTGAATGGATGGTGGATGGGTTTGTGTGAGTGTGTATATGGTTTGTTTGTTTGGGTGAGCATATAAAGTGAGTGAGTGAGTGAGTGAGTAGCCTGGGGACATGCCTTCCCCTCAGTGTAACAGTCTGGAGGACAAAAGATAGGTGAATAAGGCGTGTTTGTTCAAATGGATGTTGAGTGCAGAGGCCCAGATAAGCTGCGTATCCGGGTAAAATACGCATAGCAAATTTCAAATTACGCATTGAAAAATAATTGTTGCGTACCAATTACGCATTTAAAATGTTAGATACGCAAACAGTTTAAAACAAATGCGTACGGAATATATTTCTAAAAATCGCTTGCATAATGAAAAACACATCGATTGCTATCAAGTTGTACTGTTAGAATAGGACTAGTGTTGTACTGTCAGTATAGGATGAGTGATTTTTTATGAAATCATTTCCAATATATTTAAGTTGGTTTTGATTAGGTATGACATAAGGCAGAACAAACCTGCTTAGTAAACTTACTCAATGACATAATACTTAGGTGAGTAAAATGACTGAAATACACACATATTTGGAAGCAGTGGGTAACGGAAAATGAAATACCCACTCAACATTTATAGTACCCACTCCAAAAAAATACAGTGGGTACAGTACCCACATGAGCTAAATCTTATCTGGAGCTCTGGAGTGGACTACTGTGCCACTTATGTGCTTCTACCAAAGAACGCGAGAGATCATAGGGGAGACTGTCCGAGTGAGTAAAGCTGACCCAATATGCAACAACAGACCGGAGAGGAACAGAGTCAGGCCTACCTTCTTCTTGTGGCGCCAACTTGACTGTGACTCGGACTCCAGGCTTCAGCTGTCTATCAATCTGCACCTCCTGAAAACATCACAGAACATATTTTAACATACAAACTAAAACCAATTATTGCATCACACTACACGAAGTAGACAATACTTTGCTACGGGTTGCAGCAAACAGAAGAATGCATGCCTTAGTGAGTGAGTTGGTTTTTATGCCGCTTATAGCAATATTCCAATAACATCATGGTGGGGGACACCAGAAATGGGCTTCACACATTGCACGAATGTGGGAAATTGAACCCAGGCCTTCAGCATGACAAGCGAACACTTTAACCACTGGGCTAACCCACTGACCCTTGCCTGTCTTAAGGGCTGAAATCAACATTTGGAGCAGCTTCCTTGGTATTCAGTGACATCAGAAAAATTGTCTGAATGGTTTTGCCCCAACAGCTGTTCAATGTCTTCAGTTGCCTGACCATTCTACTAGGCAATACAGGAGGCATTAAATTCAGAGCTATTATAATTTCGTTATATACCTCTGATTTTCCCACACAGTACGTTTATCTCCTAAACAAAACTTGGATGGTGTGGATATATTTAATGTAAAGTACAGTTCGATCAACAATATTCTACCCAAAATGATTTTAAAATAACAAAGTAGTCATTTCATAAAAAAATGCACTAATTCATGGCCAGCACAAACATGCCCAAAAACATTTCAATCACACAACAAAGCTGGGCCCCGTTCCTCAAAGCGATCGTAACGCTACGGCAGTCAGGTATGTCTATGTTAAAGAATGGGAGTTAACGGCTGTTGTAGTGTTACGGGCCCTAGAAGGTAAAACATCATTTAAGAGAATAATTTCATCCAGTACCGTGGGCTAAACACCACATAGCAACAGGTTCAGAGGCAGGGTCTGAGTAAACTTACAATCAGTTTTCTTGTTTGCAATGGTACAATCGCTAAAGGACAAAAACATGGTCAAAGGGAGACAACTCTTACACACTTGATATAGACCACTGCATTAAACACCACATATAAGAGTAAGCCTGCTTATACGGTTGGTGACATATTGCAAAAGATTTTCTTGCGAGCAAAAGGCAATTTGTCTTGGTACAATCACTGAAAGAGACCGCGAGCGAATAGAGGCGACTACTTTGTGGCATTCAAAGACTAATCTCAACGTGATACAAATCCTTAGAAATACGGTCAAAGGGAGACAACTCTTATTTTTTGTTATCAAAGAGAGACAAATCTTACAGATTAAGCCCTAATTCCATTCGTGACCAACTCGTGTTATTCCGGGACAAGCCGAATAGCGACTCGTGCCCCTCTGGAAGGATTTCATATTGGCGCATGAACATCAGAACTACTTTAAACAAGAATGATAACTCTATCCCTGTTTCATTCCAATGTTTCTTAATATCACCGAAGCACATGTACATTGTATTGCTAGGTTGTTTTTTTGTTGTTTTTTTTACTTATTTATATTAAATAATTAAACCTCTTGGATACAAATAAAAGAAGGAGAAAAATATATTTGATAAAGATATACAGTAGAACATGGTTATAGCGAACACGGATATAGCGTACAAACAGATATAGCGAACAAGTTTAAAAGTCCCGTCAACAGTCCTTTATAATACCATTAAAATTATACGTGAATAACGAACTCGTGAGTAGCGAATTAACGGCTATAGCGAACTGATTTACTATCCCCAAGACCCAATTAACGACGTGATTAGCGAACTCACTCAGTGTCAGCTCAGCCACTTAGAGGGACAGTATACATCAATCTTGTTGGCGGTGAATCAACATTGTTTGATGGTCATTAATTAATTAACAAACCAAACATATCGTGGTTTAACCCATTCAACACCGCGGAGGCCGAATAATCGGCCTAACGTTATGAAAACGGAAAGTTTTCGCTTGACGAGGATGGTATCCATTGCCTAAGTATGATTGGCTGCCTTAGGTCACGGTCTGATTTTGACCAATAACTATCCTTATAGCAGACTGTGTAAAAAGCTGACATTAGAAACCAATCTTTATCCAATAAAATCGCTTTTTTAACTGTGAAAATACCCTCGGCAAGGGTACAGTGATATTGTTGATGTTCCAGAGCTGTCGAACGATACCAGACACCACACGATTCGCCTCTCGCATGTTATTCATAACGAAGCTTCAAAACGGAGGTATTTCCCGTTGTTGTGTCATGTTAACGAACGGAAAGCCTGATTACATAAAAATGAAAATATAAAAGAAAAAGGCACGGGCATGTTATGACATGTCACAAATGGAAAAAAAATCGCTACAGTTTTTCTTTCGTGGTTTATCTGGACATTATAAATGTAAGCTTGCATTTTCATTAAAAAATAAATTTATTTAAGTTGTAGTTGTATTATTTCAATTTTATTATAAAAATAAACTTCATATTTATCAACATGAACATAGGTAATGTCTGTGAATGTCTACATCTCTACAATCCAAGATGGCGGTCAAATGTGAATAACGAACAATGGATATAGCGAACTAAATTTCTTGGTCCCTTGGAGTTCGTTATATCTGTGTTCTACTGTATTGTAATGCAATTATGTTAAGTTTCTAAATAGGGGTTAATAATCACAAATGGGAATTGTCTTATTGAATATACAAATAAAATAATATTTTTTCAGCTACATTAAATCCCAGAGCAAATACTCAAACATGACTTTAAAATATTTCTCAAACTGAACATTCGTGTAACCTTGCTGTCACACATCTGGTGGACTTTTAAATGAATTTGCTGAAAAAAATATGAATGACCAAAAAAAACAGTCAGACTAAAATATTCCCAGTGCTGTGAATTATAAGCCCAATGTTAAAAGATTAAAGTTGATTAGTTACATACAAATACGATATTATTGTTTTGAAACTCGTAGCGATTATAATTACATTTCCTAAAAGTGTTCGAAGCGCACATACAATCTCCATAACAAGCCTGCAAGATCGTCAGAAATATGCTCAGTTGGACCCATGAGGGCCGTTATGTCAACAAACGCACGTGCATGTATTTTAATCTATCACCGTCAATCGCATGATTCTTATTAAAAACTTCATAATAGGCAGCAAAATCCTGTTAGCTACGATCTTGTACTTTCAATATGATGATATAAAATTTTCTTGATTTTTTAAACAATAACATAATGCAATAAACGATTTAAGTAGTCGGGATTATTTTTATCAAAGCACCGCAACCATTACGTGAGTTGATTGGTTTGTCGTATTTTCGCACATAACAAGCATCGATAGGGGGACGAGTCTTCTTGGAGGTTATGGAAAGGGGTGAGTCGTGACGAATGTACAGGAGGAGACCTCAGAGCATTAGACTGTCAGTGCCAAAAACAAAAACTAATGTAAAAATTCTTCAAAGTAATATCATGTTTTGTTTGTTTGTTCTTTAACGCCCCAATCAGCAACATTTCCAGCTACATGGTGCCAATCTGCATACAATATGGCCGCCGTTTGTGAAAAATAGAGTCTTGACCAGCCAGTCCAATGATCAACATCATGAGCATCGATCTACACAATTGGGATATGATGACATGCATTAAACCCAGTCAGTGAGCCTCACCACCTGCCTCAGTAGTATTTGGCCTGGAGCTGAGAAAGATATTATTCATTTGAAAAGCACCTTTTGTATTTAATCTTCGGTATTAATAAAAAGGACAGCAATTAGGAATGGTTTGCGCTATCTGTTTTTGCCCAGTAAATAATGAAAACTGGGACAGACCTCAGAACACAGTGACATGCAACAGAAAAAGTGTTGAAAGATCCTCTGCACTGATTCACATCGCCCAAACACTCCTCAACCTTCACAATATAATTCACTTCCTCACGCTGGCTGAATTATTTCAAAGTACCTGTGAAGATCCGTGTCTGAATTGGTTTTCAGCAACCCATGCTTGTCGTATAAGGCGACTAAAGGGATCTGGTGGTCAGACTCGCATGGTTGACACATGTCATCGCATCCCAGTTGTGTCGATCGATGCTCATGCTGTTAATCACTGGATTGTTTGGTCCAGTTATTTACAGGCCGTCGCCATATTGTTCAGTGCGACAATAAAAAAATTACTTTTAAGTATAATATTCACCACACTAAAATGGCAGACTTCTTCAGAAGATGTCAGCCAATCAGAACACAGAACATGATTACCTGACCCGTGAAGGTCCGGGTTAGAATGAGCCTTCAGTAACCCATGCTTGTTGTAAGAGGCGACTAACGGGTGGTCAGGCTCGCCGACTTGGTTGACACTTGGTTCCCAATTGCGCAGATCGATGCTCTTGCTGTTGATCACTGGATTGTCTGGTGCAGACTCGATTATATACAGACCGCCGCCATATAGCTGGAATATTGCTGAGTGCGGCGTAAAACTAAACTCACTCACATGATTACCTTGTAGAGCCCCACATTGACGAACGACCCCCTCCCTTCTCGGATTGGTTTGTTGAGGACCACGCCTTCCCGGTACGTGCTGACGTCATCAATACGCAAATGGTGATAACAGTCCAGGGGATTCAGCAGTCCTGAAGAGTAATAAAACATATTTCACTTACGATTGACCTTGCTCAAACACCTAATGCCTTGTTTAGATTAATGATAAGTCCTGGCGAATCAAAGTGTTTTTGTTTTTGTTTATTAAACTACTCATCACTACAATGTCAAGTTTTGGCATTCTTAACTCTACCTTAATGTATGAAAGTTACGATTGTGTTAGTCTATAATGTAAAAAGTTATGATCAGCTCAGCACTTTGTTTGTCTAAGTTAAAGTATGGGACTTACAATTATCTTAGCTGGCTGGCTGAGTATGGTTTTACACCGTTTTTAGCAATATTCCAGCAACATCACGGAGGGGGACACCAAAAATCGGCTTCACAAGTTGTATCCATGTGGGGAATCGAACCCGGTCTTTCGGCGTGACAAGCGAACGCTTTAACCACTAGGCTACCCCACCACTCCTACAATTATCTCAGCACTAAGACTGTCTTAGAGTTAAAATTGTCTTAGCACTCACATCAGAGTGTGGAAACGTAGAAGGCCCCTAAAGTTTCAACCACAAGTAAGTGAGTGAGTGGGTGAGTGAGTGTCTTTTTACGCCGCTTTTAGCAATATTCCAGCAATATCATGCAGGGGTGGAAATAACTTTAAAATTGCTAGTGTACTCCGGTACAGTGGCACATGTGAAATCACTTGCCCTGATCATTTTTCCGCTATACCGGCCGATTTTTTGGTGATTTTTTTAATATAAGCAACATATTTAACATTGGAATGCCAACCGGACACCGGTACAGCGTGATATACAAATGTGCTTGCCCGATAGAAAAAACACTGGACTCGGACGTCAGGCAATGGGTTATTTCCACCCCTGTTATGGCAAGGGACACCAGAAAATCGGCTTCACACATTGTACCCATGTGAGTACAATCAAACCTGGGTCTGTGGTGGCCTGTGGTCCTGTGCACAGAGCTCAGGTCACAAATCAGTTGCAACATCGAGCTCGGACAGTTCTTGGATTGGAGACCGTGTATGGCAGCTTGACTCCTGAGAGTTTCTAGGACTTCAGTCCTGCCCCACAAGAAGCACATGTGATACATGTGGTCTCACCTTAGGCAAGTGAGTTTGTTCGAAATTGCCACTGTTCACCCAGCAGAAAATGGGTACCCCGGTTGGATAAAGTCATGTGACTACAACCTTCTAGCGCCTAACAGGCAGCTTGGGTTATCCGGGGTAATAAGAATCAGATTCTGATTAAGCGCCGCAAGCAAACACTTGGTGTTTGGAGACTGTGCACTATAGAAGATGACTTATTATTGGGCCACTTGGCTACCCGACCGCCCCAACAAGGTATATGACAGCACCAACGTGTCAACTCACCAGCATATTGCAGGTCCTTGTGCTGGGGGAAGAAAGACTTGCGCAGGTACTGGGGACACTCTAGGTACTGCAGGATGCGGGCCATCTGGACATTGGCCTGGCCTTTCTTCCCTATCCCTGCAAAGTCGCCTTCGGTCGTCCTTGAACACACAAACACAACATGGATGTAATGTAGTGAAAGGAATGAAAGATAATAATGGCAAATTTTGGGACCTTCCATAATTTATGGGGGGGTGATGATGATTTTTTAGGAGAAGCATGCCCCCACTATGCATGTCATGTACAAAATCAATGCCACCCCCCTCCTCCCATGTTTTTAGGCCAAACCAATTTTATTTCTTGCTTTACAGATCCGCTGGTCGTATTTTTTCAAGGATACGAAAAAAAATAAATAATAATAATTTTCCCCGCTCAAAAAGTAAAATTCTCATGTTTTTATTGGCCAAAAATGTAAACTTGCCCCAAAAAATTTGTTAATTGTTTCTTGCCCCATATAAACTTCATAAATTGCCCAAAATAATGTAATTTTTTGAGTAAAATTGATATTTTATACTTATCCTGACTCATGCTCTTTTTGCTTGTCTCCTTCCTCTTGCGAACATAGTGGAACACTTGTATCTCCCTAATTGAAGTTCCCTTCAATGTAAAATCACTAATTAGTACACCACGAGTTACCTCCCTTCCACAAGCGCGGGAACGAGGGCGCCACCTCTACCCATGTGCCTCACTCTCTCCTCATATACTGAGCCCAACATTTGAATTTACAGGAAATCCAAAGTGTTATTTGGGGAGGATGGGAGGGTTGACCTCATGAGTCAGGATAAGTATAAAATATCAATTTTACTCAAAAATTACATATTTTCCTTATCCTGACTCATGCTCTTTTGCTTGTAGAATCCAACAGAGCGGAGGTGGGAATATATAATACTTTGGATTTTAATAATTAGTGATTTGAACTGTGATGATTGTAATAACCCTATGGGAACTTCATAAAGGCATTGAACTGATGAATTCCTGCTGCTAACTTATCAGCTGCCATATAAAGGTTATTACAATGTACTTATTATGATAAGTATATATAATATTAATACAATGCTTAAGACTAATAGACTTAAGCTTGTTAATATGCTAGTATAAACTCCTTAGAGTTTGTTAGCTAAAATACTTTAAGATATAAACATAGCACTAAGCTTAAAATATGATTAATTTTAAGCTAATTATATAATAACAAACCTCTTTAGGGTTTGTTAGTTAAAATATTTATATGATATAGACAGTGCTGAGCTTAAGATATGAATAAGCTTAGCTATATATATAACAGCAAACTTTGTAGAGTTTGTTAGCTAATACATTTTACAATATGAGTATAGTATTGTGCTTAAGATATAATTATCTTAAGCTACATATATAATAGCCAAACTTAGTAGAGTTTGTTAGCTAATATATTTTTACAATATGAGTATAATACTGTGCTTAAGATATAATTAACTTAAGCTACATATATAATAGCCAAACTTAGTATAGTTTGTTAGCTAATATATTTTTACAATATGAGTATAGTACTGTGCTTAAGATATAATTAACTTAAGCTACATATATAATAGCCAAACTTAGTAAAGTTTGTTAGCTAATATATTTTTACAATATGAGTATAGTACTGTGCTTAAGATATAATTAACTTCAAGCTACATACAATAGCCAAAAACTCTGTAGAGCTTATTAGCTAATAGATTTATAATGTAACCATAGTACTAAGCTTAAGATATGATTAGACTTAAGCTAAATGTATATAGCAAAAAACTCCTTAGAGTTTATTAACTAATATACTTTTATGTTATAAACATAGTACTGAGCTTAAGATATGATTAAACTTAAGCTATATATATATAATAGTAAAACTCCGTAGAGTTTGATAGCTAATACATTTTATTATGTTGATTTAGACCTAGTATTGAGCTTAAGATATGAAGTAAACCTTAAGCTAAATATATAATAGCAAAAAACCTTTTAGAGTTTTAATAGCTAATATACTTATATGGTATCAACATAGTATTGAGCTTAAGATATGAAGAAACCTTAAGCTACATATGTATAGCAAAAACTCCGTAGAGTTTGTTAGCTAATACATGATATAATGTAACCATAAAGCTTAAAATATGATGAAAACTTAAGCCCAATATATAATAGCAAAAAACTCTTTTAGAGTTTTGATAGCTAATATACCTATATGATATAAACATAGTACTGCGCTTAAGATATGAATAAGCTTAAGTTACATATATAATAGCAAAAAACTCCATAGAGTTTGTTAGCTAATACATGTTATAATGTAACCATATTGCTTAAGATATGATGAAACTTAAGCCAAATAGCAAAAGCTCTTTAGAATTTGTTAGCTAATATAGTTATATGATATAAACATAGTACTGAGCTTAAGATATGAATGAGCTAAGCTACCTATATAATAAGCAAAACTCCGTAGAGTTTTGTTAGCTAATGTATTTTTACAATATGAGTATAGTACTATGCTTAAAATATACTTGACTTAGCTACGTATATATAATAGCCAAAAACTCTGTAGAGTTTGTTAGCTAATGCATTTATCATGTAACCACTGTGATGATAAAAACGAGTTTAAGCAAATTATATATAGCATGAAGCTATTTAGTACTGTTATAAGATAAGTAAAATCTGTAAGATTGACTTATCTTTCTCCGAGGAACTGTCAACTGTTGTGCAAGGACCATGGGATCAAATTGGTGGATACCTGAGATGTCCTCGGTGGTGATATCTCTCAGATAATGGTTGGCAACCACCATATCGGATCTACAGTAATAAACCCTCCATTATTTCAAATAACATTTGTGTAGATGAAATTGTAGAAGTTAGCGCCTAATATCAAGAGTATTAAAGCTCATGGAGGGTCGGATTAGGTCCATCTGTCTTGTATGCACGTAGTATGACAGTTCTGATCCAAACGGAGATATAGTACGTGAGACTACACTCTGCGTAAGTTGATGATAGAGGAAAAATCTGTTGTATTTTTTCTTCCTGGTTGGTTTGGTGGAGATAAATTTACAGTGCTCTTGCTGGCCAGCGTGATAGCATCATCGTATCATGGAGTCCAAGTATGTCATCCAGGCATGTTCATAAACCTCACTTGTGAGGTGTTGTAGCACTATATTCATATCCCCAAGTTGGTACGTGAAACTTCCGTTTATTCTCCAAACAGAAACTTAGTAGGTTTACTAACCATCTAGTTGTGTTAGTAGCTTGATGATGAAATTCAGGTGTAGTCTGGAAACGCTGTGGATTTCGATCCACTTGTATCACGTCGTCTAGGTAAATCGTTTGCGATGTCCTTGACGATGTATGTGCACAACCGGGAGTTTGTGTCCTCGATGAACTTTATGTAAAAATCGCCTGACTGCTGCCCTTGTCTAAACTTGACAGAGGAGGTCTCTAACCTGAAGAAAGCAGCCTAATCATGAAGGTTCAGGTTAACTGGCTGTAAGGAGGCTTGCTCGTTCATTGATATAAAGTTGTCACTTGCAACCTATGTCTTGAACTGTGAACTATGCTCGACCTCTGTGTAGGGCGTTGTTCATCGGGGTCCAATCAGAATAAGGCATTTGATTCTGTAGAGTACCCGCGCTGTGATGTCACCGGTGTAGCAGGAAAAGGAACCTTGTATAATATAGTGCCGTCGTTGATATTAGAACAATCGTCGGTCTTCATCGTAACTTCCCGAAGTTACCTGAGTGACCACGTGTTTCGATTATTAATGGTAACGCGCGAAAGCTTCGGCGCAAAAATACCTCGCTCTGTAATATTAATGCTGGGTAGGTTATTTTCCTGGCTGTCGAAAGTGCTTCAGTTTTGAATATAATTCCGACTTCTTTATATATAAAGGTACAATAACTTGTAAGTTGTCAGCTTGTAGACTGTATACATGAATGTATCGTCATAATTGTAGAATTAAAGCTGAATTTGTTCGTACATATTTCTTTCTCAGAAATGTTGACGATTATGAGTTATACTCGCTGTAACAAGGCTGCTGTTCAATTTCGATATTGAATTGTCTGCAGATATGCGTAATGGTCACGCATGTAGATAATCGTATCGTCGTCCGGGATTGCATATACTAGCAATTTATACGGAATAGTTGATTTCTGTGAAGATCTATGAAACGTCGTTGACAAATTAATACAGCGACGTTCTGTGTTGTAAATAGCCTGTGCAATTGTCATCGCGTAGGCTTATAGACGGCATCTGGCATACAGTTGATAGACAACTTATGCGATGTCTTGAACGGACTGAGGAGTAGCTATATATGACGAGTGGCTAGTATATGGAGACCTTGGAGGAGACTTCCTCGGTGAACGCCGGAGACTTCACGAAGCTCTCGAAGTATCCTTCTAGATCTACTGGTGAAGTAGACTTGGAGCTTACTTAGCCTTCGCGACCTTCGCGAAGGTATCGAAGTCAAAGTCCGATTAGAATATATATATATATATATAGAGCGCTTGCTTCGCGAATGGCCTCTGTGTTTAACAGGATGTGGGGTCGGCGAAGCGCCATCCTCCGCGACGTCCCTTGTAGCTGGTGAGGCTCCTCAGCTTCGCGGAGGCGGCCTGGGACTTGCTGGTTCTGCATAAGTAGGGCCGAGTGGATCATCTTATCATTTTTCGAAGTCGTGTTACGAAATCTGGCGATAAGTGTCTCAATGATCGTTCTAGATCTATTTAGGCCAACGAACATGCACGTCTCGTCATGGATTCAACTGAACCAATTTACGATTGTAGTTCTTATTGTTGATATCGATGATCAACTTGTAGTTTTCATCGATGTCTTAAGCCACTTGAAGAAGGGGTCCATGTTGTGCGTGGAAAACTTTGAAGCGTGAAAGTTCGGCAATTATGGTGTCTGAACTTTTGTGGCTTTATGGGATGCTATGTCTAGATTCTGTGCTACCGCAGCAATCGGGTCGATCGGAGGTAGGGTGATAGCATCTGCGTCGTCTTCCTTCATCAGGTATGTCTGCGTCGTACTGCCACTCTAGGAAGGTGATGTAGACTTGTGTGCAGACTTGTGTGGTAACCTGTGAGGCGATCGATGTGGTGATGTACGAGGAGATCGG